GCTATCGGACGGTCGGGCACGGTCGTCGTGGAGGCGCGTGCGACACAATCTCGGACATCTCCCCACGCTTTCCAGAGCTCGGGCGCGACGTGAGAACGCGAGGCTAGCGGTCCCCGGGAGGGCCGTCGTTATCGCAACCCCCTCGCACGGCCGAACGGTCCCCCGCGCGGGGCCCGTCGAGACGCGGGCTCGCTCGCGGCACGCGTTACAAAACGGCGGCGCGGCCTTGAGGCGAGTTTCTCCGAGCGGTAGCCCGTCGCGAGTATCACCGAGGGCACTCCGTACGAGCCTGGAGGACGGATAACGGACGGACAGGTGCGCCGCATTCCTGCAAACGGTGCGCACCGGCTGCACCGTCGTCGTCATCGACGGCGACGATGACGGGGCGACTTCTCTCCGCCACGAGAGTCTTCCTCTCGTCCCGTGCGAAACGCGCGGACCGGATAAAAGGAAACCGCGGGCGAATACGTGCGGGAATGCCGGGGTCGGACTTGCCGTCGGTTTGCGTATGCCGGGGAGCGTGCTCCTCGATTTTACGTGGCGATCGAACGAAACGAGCGGCGAGGATGCCCGAAATCCGGATGCTTTCACTCGACGGCGCATTCGCTACGACATTGCCTCGGCCCACCTTTCCGGCGGGAACTTGAAAACTAATTTCGAAGCTGGGAAGATTAAGTTTCGAACTCTCTCGAACTCTCTCTCTCGCGAGTTCTTGAAAAAAGGCAGAAAAAATAGTCGAAGTCCGCCGTTGTACCGAGGCTCTTCGATCGTGGACCGCGAAAATGGGGACGAAAGGGAATTAGCGAGCGCCGGGAAGGAGGACAATAGCGTTCGTTTGCATATTACAGAGAAAGCACGAGTGGCATGGACGTTGAGGTATGAACGAAATCTTCGCGGTATCTTCGCGTATCGCTGTACATTTTCAGGTCGGCGATCGACGCCGCTCGGACTCACTGACACGTGAGAAATCGTTGGCCCAATCACTCGCGCCCGCCTCCCGATTAATCTCACGGGAGCGTTTTTTCCTCTCTCGGCTTGGATTGCGGGACGCGGGAAATTGCGTTTACCCCTTCGGCCGGGATGTAAAAAAAAAGTTTAACGCTTTAACGCTTCGCAGACTCGGGCCGAGTCTGAAGACGGGGTTCGCGGGAGGCGTATACGGCCAGGCAGATCTCCGCCGAGTCTCATTAAGAATCGCAAACATTTAAAGCGGAGCGCGCGGGCGAGCGCGTTTTGTTCCCTTCTCCGCCCCCCCCCCCCCCCACCTCCGGCCCCTCTGTTCTTATATTACGGGCTATCTCTTTGCAGCACGACCGGCTCCAGTAAGCCACGGCCCGTCTGTTTTGCTTAACTTGATTTTTAGCTCACGGCACAGCGTGGGATGGAGACCTCAGCAGCTGACCTGGTTCCGATAGATCGATTTCGGCGCGACGCATCTCACGAGCATTCCTGAACCGCCGCGCTATCGCGCGCGCGGTATCAGCCACCAATACCTATCGCCCACGAATTATATTTGTCCGCGCAGGTAGAAAGGGACGGAGGGAGGGAAGGGAGAGAGAGAGAGTGAGAGAGGCGGGGGAGGAGGGACGGTGGTATTTTCTTCTATTTTTTAAAACACGGCACCGGCAAATTGGAGCAGCCAATGTCATTTCACGGTTGGGAGAAACGGAGAAGAAAAAGAGGTAAAATGTCCTTATGATTTCCGTATACGGGAAGGGGCGTTTGGAAAAAGGATATCGGACAAATCGAGATCAAAGTTGATCGCGACGCGGAGTTAGGCGAGGTCGGTCCCGCGGGCAGAATGAGTTAGTGGAGTGGCTCTAAGTAGCGCCCGAAGGCGCTCTGCTTAGATCGAACGTGTTACATGAATGAAACCGGACGGCGACGCTTAGCGGTGAATGTAGAACAAGTATGCGAAGTAATGCGGTAATGCTGGACGTCTCTGCGCGTAAAATAATAATAATGTACAGGTACACACATTTTCCCACGTGCGCCGCAACTTTTATGATACAAAGTAACATTTTTTGTACCCCCCCCCTCTCTCTCTTTTTCTCTCTCGCGTCGAAAAATCCGCATAAATATTCAATCGCGCAAACACGAATAATTTATTTAAATCGACTATTTGGTTATGATTCAACGGGCATATTGATATTAATTAATTCCCTCTGATAATTTTTTTATCCAACAGGATTCATACGACTCGAATTTGTTCTATTGAATATCATTATAAGCTAACAGGGTTAATGTTAATAAATTAATATTAATTCTGCGACGTGAATTTTGAATAAAATTCTCTTCATACCTCACCTCATTTTCACGCGTATCTTTCTATTCGTTCTAAATTCTCTCGTGAAATATCCGATTTAAAACGGGGGGGGGGAGGGACAATCCCCGCGAAATAAAATATATAATTCTTTTCCGTGGTCGTCGACCGTTATCTCTCGAAGTGGATTGCTCTCCGCGCGATCTGGAGTTAAAAAGCACATTTGTTTATACGGAAAAGAGAACAGATTCCGCGACTAGTATCCCTTTTTCGAGGATGGCTAACCGGCGGCACTGGCGCAAGAAATACATCGCGCGCGCGCACGTACGAAATTTACGTATCAGATTTTCCAAATTGAAGTTTTACCATGCCTCGGTGGTCGAATTGGTGAGACGCCCGCCTAGAGAGTAAGGGAAGTCCGGGTTCCAACCCTGGCTGAGGTAATAGTTCTCGCAATAAATTATCTACATTGGTCGGTTAATTAATAAATGTGCCCGAGTCGAAATTTTGGCCCTATGTTGAACCTGTAATTCTATTATACAGTAGAACCCAAGACAGCAAAAGAGGTCGAACCGCAAGTACAAAATTGACTCCTACTTTAAAACTGACAGTGTCGGAAATTTCTACTTTTGCCAATTTAGCATGAAAGTAGGTCCTTTTAAGTAGGAGCTAAAGTAAATTTTTAGAATTAAAGATTCAAGGGAGGAGTAAAATAATACAATGTCGTCAAAGTACGTTATTGCTGGTCTATGTAGGTGTATAGATCAGCTAAGTAGGTGTAAATTATTCTTAAAAGTGTCCAACTTCCGAGTCAAAATTTTGACCCTATGTTGAACCTGTAATTCTATAATATAGTAGGACCGAAGACAGCAAAAGAGGTCGAACCGCAAGTACAAAATTGACTCCTACTTTAAAACTGACAGTGTCGGAAATTTCTACTTTTGCCAATTTAGCATGAAAGTAGGTCCTTTTAAGTAGGAGCTAAAGTAAATTTTTAGAATTAAAGATTCAAGGGAGGAGTAAAATAATACAATGTCGTCAAAGTACGTTATTGCTGGTCTATGTTATAGGTGTATAGATCAGTTAAGTAGGTGTAAATTATTCTTAAAGTGTCCACCTTCCGAGTCAAAATTTTGACCCTATGTTGAACCTGTAATTCTATTATACAGTAGGACCCAAGACAGCAAAAGAGGTCGAACCGCAAGTACAAAATTGACTCCTACTTTAAAACTGACAGTGTCGGAAATTTCTACTTTTGCCAATTTAGCATGAAAGTAGGTCCTTTTAAGTAGGAGCTAAAGTAAATTTTTAGACTTAAAGATTCAAGGGAGGAGTAAAATAATACAATGTCGTCAAAGTACATTATTGCTGGTCTATGTAGGTGTACGGATCAGTTAAGTAGGTGTAAATTATCCTTAAAAGTATGAAAATAGAACCGAAATTTCGACTCGGGTGGCCAGCTGGGGTCGAACGGAATTTGGAATTTTATTATTAACACTGGCAATTTGAAGAGAGTAATCTTTGAATTTTTAATCCTTAGAATCGGGGGATCAGCTCCTCCCCGCGTTCCCCGTCTTCCTTTTTACCGGCGCGCGGGAAAGGGACGCGCGCGGCGCGCAAACACGCCTTTCGCGAGAGAATTGAATCCTCGGCGGAATCCGGATTGGCCGCGCGAATTCGACACGCGTCTCCGGTTCCGGCGAGCGGATCTCACGCAGGGCGTGTACCGGGGCACGGACCCCCGGGAACAAGCGGCGCGCGAGCGTCGCATTCGTAATCCCCCGGTATCGGTGACAGCCCGGCGCGGCGCGGCGCCGAGATTCGTCGCTTTTCGGCGCGATCGCGCGCTTACTCCGTCGCGCGCCGCGAAGAGGACGCGCCGCCGTGACCGGCGAACCGGTTCGCGGCGGTGAGCAAGAGGATCGCCTGCGTCGATCCACCACGTCGCGCCGGCGGAATCGGCGCGCGCGCGCGCGCACGCATACTCGCGCGAGCGACGGGAGAGCGACACGTAAGACACGGGTCCTCTTCGCGCCACGCGTTTGACGCCCAGAGACGTGGCAGCGCGCTTCCACGAACTTTCTTCACTGAGACGTACGTGGGATCGAACACTCACGCGCTCTCTCTCTCTCTTTCTCGCGCGCGCAGTCCGTGTTATCTCGAGCGGAAGGTGCTAACCAGGGCCGATACAGATTCTCCTCGATGGCAAGAGGGACACCGGGGCTCTCTCTCGCTCTCTCTCTCTCCCCAGGAATGAACTTTCCCGGCCCGCGGTATCTGGAGCGCCCGCCCGGAGCGAATCTCGCAGGAACGGCACTGCTTCGTTAACTTTGCCGGATTAGTGTCAATTACTCCGGCGGCGGACTCGCGACGCCGCGCGGGTCCCGCGGATCACGATCGCGGACGCCTCGTGCGCGAGAGCTGCGCGCGGATCGCGGCTTCGCGACGGGACGGGACGGGGACGGGACGATCGCGGGCTAAGGCCGGGGCGACCGATCGTTACGCGCCTCCGGTGCGGACTAGGGTTCGGCCAGCTCGTTCCGTCGGCCGAGAGCGATCGCGAGAAACGCAGCGGGACGTTGGATGTAGCGTGCGCGCGTGAGAGACGGTCGCGGGGTAACGCTCTCTCTCTCTCTCTCTCTCCTCCCCCCCCCTCTCATCTTCCTTCTTTCTCCCTCGCTAGACGGCTGGTCGATTCCACGCCGCTGATCGCGCTTCTCGTCCCGTCGATACGCACCTTCTTCCCTCTCGGTGGCCCGGTGGCGGCTAACGGCGCGGTGCAGGTGCGGAAGGAAGCTCGCGGCCGTGCATCCCCGACGTCCGTCGTCTCGCACTAAACGGAGGATACGCCTGGCATCGCGTGGCGCGGCGCGGCGCGGCGCGGTGCGGCGCGGAACGGTGCGGAGCGGAGCGTAAGCGGAGCAATGAGCGCGCCGAGGTTAGGGCCGTCGCGAGGAGTGGGGGGGGACGACACCTGTTCGACGTACGCGGCAGCGCCTTCGCGGGAGCGCCAACGCCGCGCGCGATCGGCCAGGGTATCGATATACGCGCCGGGCGCGCGGGATATATCGAGAGTCGGGAAGCGCGATCGTACAGCTCGCGATTTATCGACGCGACTCGGCGCTGCTGTTCCCGCCACGATCCCGCCCGCGTTCCGTTCCACACGGGGCTTGTGACGTAAATTTCAATCAGCGTTACGCGTTTATTTTGCATATTGCGTTTGTATTGCACGCACGGAATAATGTATAAATTAGAAAATGGATAACACAATGCAGGGAGGATAATAAGGTTTTGAATTGTTAACGTGTATATTTCGGCATCGATATTAAAAGTGTTTCGAATGAAATATTAAATGTCGAAGGTAGATGACGGCGCGTCAAATTTTCATTGCGCTACCGGCTGTGAGATTAAAATGCTCGACACTGTTATTTTGTGCCCGAACGAGCAACTAAAAATGCGATAACTTTTTTAATAGCTAATTCGGCAGCTTGCACCGGTGCGCACTGCGGCTTGTTTACGGTCGTTAAAAGAAATAGTCACGCTCGGTTTTTCGTAATAACAAAAATCGAAAGTCGCGGCTAGTGTGTTACACGGGCGAAAATAGGAAATATTATAAGATTAATATCGATTTCGATTCGAATTACAAAAAATTACATCAATTGTTTATCAGTCAATTCCTGTGATTAAGAAATACTTAAGCCAACGGCACACGTACTATTTTTTTCTACTGGATTACTTACGAGAGCCAATCAGGTTTCAGCTTTGAGTCACCTGATCAGAAACTCTGCATTCTGATTGGCTCTCGTAAGCAATCCAGTAGGAAAAATAGTGTCGTGTGCCGTTGGCTTTAGCCAGTGAATTCGCCAACGGCACGCGATACTACTTTTCCTCTTAATTGGCTTTATAGAAATGCAAAACTCTTTTGCGGAATTAAAGTACGCAGCGAAATCTAGACTGTGCTGGTCGACTTTATGTAAAAAACTAAAAAAAACTTAAACATTTCACTAATTTTTTGGTATACTTGACGACAATATTTGCTTGATACAAGAATTCTGCAATAAATGTATACAAAATGAGACCAGCATACTCTAGGGACAGCATATAAGAACAATATCGTGCAGTTGGAACTAAGATTAAGAGGATCCTATAGCCATCTTTTTTACCGACACAGTCAAATATAGTTTTTGCGCTTGTAATTCTTTTTCTTAGCTTTTATGCACGAAATAATACCAGGACAAAGTTGCGCACCGCATAGCAAAACATACTTAAAACAGAATGTCTAATGAAAAAGATATTGGTATTTGAAATTTTCAATTCTTTAATCGCGAGCAATTTGAAATTGGCTTTATAAAATTACAAAATTCTGCCACACCATTGTAGTACGCATAAAAACAAAGCGGGGGGTTTTCGACTTTATATAAAGTACGAAGAGAAATTAAAAATATCGCTTTACAAGTAATTGCGGTTAGGGTTAGGTGACAGCGTCACACGCTGATATTTTCAATTTCTCTTCGTTCTCTTAAGGGGATGCTGGAGTGATTCTGCACTTTTGCACCTTTCTAACCTAAAAACTGTCAGTTCGCGGAATCATTTGTGTAATATACAAATTAAATGGCTTACGTGTATAGATCGAAAGCAGCTTAATTGCTACTCCGGCCAAATGAAAGAACAATATGGCATCACTGAAACTAAGTTTGTAAGTCTAATAAGAAATAATAGTGAGCAACACATACATATACAGTACATGTAGTATGTTGTTGCTCACTATTATTTTTTATTAGACTTACAAACTTATAGCGTTTTCGATTTTCTGACTCGACCCGACCCAGAGTCAGAAAAGTTTGATCAAAAGCAAGATTTGAACCACAATTTCTGCAAAAATCTTACTTTCGATCAAACTTTTCTGACTCGGAGTCGGGTCGAGTCAGCAAATCGAAAACGCTATTAGTTTCAGTGATGTCATATTGTTCTTTAATTTAGCCGGAATAGCAAGCTGCTTTCCATCATCTGTACACGTGCCATTTAATTTGTGTATTACACAAATCTTTCCACGAAACAGACAGTTTTAAGTGCAAAAGGTACGAAAGTGCAGAATCACTCCAGCATCCCCTTAAACGATCATCATTGCCTGTGTCCAGCAGAAGTTAGCGCTTGCTAAGCGCTTTGCCTTCATTGGATTATACTTTCAGATCTGTGCTGAAATAGAGCTATTCTTCTAGATCTATCCAATCAGCATAAAGCGCTTATTAAGCGCTAACTTCTGGAGAACACAGCCATTGCCTGTGTCCAGCAGAAGTTTGCGCTTGCTAAGCGCTTTGCGTTCATTGGATTATACTTTCAGATCTGTGCTGAAATAGAGCTATTTTTCTAGATCTATCCAATCAGCATAAAGCGCTTATTCTTAGCTAACTTCGGCAG